GGAGGCACAGAGTCCATCAGTGGATTTATAAATCAGTGTAAATAGTCGATTATAGCAGACTAAAATCAAATGTGCCATTTCCAACACCAGAGAGAAGGGTCAGAAATATTCCAGAAATAAAAATGAAGCTGAAAGTACAAGGATTAAACGGGAATCTTGTTAACAACTGCAAAAAACCATGTCCTACATATTCAGCACATGTTTGGATTAGACGAAAATCAAAATTTTAGTAGATTTTGATTAAAACTGAAGGTTGAAAAGTTGTGGGTCCTATGAAATGGGAGGTTAAAAATAATTGTTTACTTTGACATTGACTTAGATTCACTAGGTAACACGCATGTATGAGCAGAAAATGGTCCAAGTCATTGGATGTGCACGCACTGGGTTTATACACACCAAGAATCAAAGACTATGGCCTCGAGATGGCACTCAGCTAAACAAATCTGGCATTTCGACGGGAACTCATCATATCACAAACTAATAACTCTCCCTATCCACTAGTCAGTCAGAAACATAGCCTATCGCCCTCCATACAGTATTACATCCCCCGAGTACATAGGTACCCCTTTTTTTTAAATGACCGTGGGTATCCGACCTAGCTTACATGCACCTCGACTAATCTCACGAGGCCTTGAAATTTATAGCTAGATACTAATCTCAGTGACCTTGAGAAGACTCGAATTGCCCAAGTACATAGGTACTTACTGGCCCATATCTTATTCCAGCGTCAAATCTGGACTCCTTAATTATTTAGGAAAACGTGCATTGATTAGATGCCAAAAGAAATGCACCCATATGTACAGTACCTTTGCCAACTACCAAGGGAAATAATTGCTTCCAAGCAATTGCTGTCAGCACCAAGTGTACGTGAAACGGTAAGGCTCTACACAAGTTCCAGAAGGTGCAGAATGGAATGTGTGTATATATATACATATATAAGAAATAAAAACAAACTAAAGGAGATGCAGAGCATCTCCTTGACAGTTCTCCAGAAATATCTAATATCCACTGCATTTAAACTATGTCAAAACAAGGCAACTCCTAACCAGTTTCCTTTTTTTGCTTTCAAAATTTCTTTTGCTTGATTGGTTAAGCAAGTACACCATTAATTTATAGTCAAAATTTTTTTTCTAAACAGGAAATCAACTAAAATCATGTCTTGTCATAGACGAAAGATCAGGATCAGTAAATATATGGTGGTATGGCAACAAATTCAATGATTTGCTTACCACGCCCTTCAAGATAATATCAGTTTCCGTGTCACTACTTTGATAAACAACTCCAGGGCAATCGATGAGAAAGATCCTCTTTGTGAGAGTTATATACTGCCACACTTTAGTCTCTCCAGGAATTGGTGCAACCTTGCAAACCTGTTCAAGAATATGTATATAAGTTTACTAGCTTGAATTTCAAATTATGATTCTACTGTTCATATCGACCTCTCTAACAATATAAACAATGCTCCTGCTGAATCAAGTCAAACAAAAACTCATACAGGAAATCAGTTTAGAGGATGTATCAAACATCTGAGCATCCAAGCAAGAGTGAGTACCAAAGTTCATTGCACCCTGCATACCATTGTTATTGAAACATTTCACCCTTTGGATGTACCAGATAGGAGCTATAAATGTCAAGGTATAATTTGCATTTAATGTCCCATGATGCCCACAAAAGGAGAAAATATGAAATGACATCAATCACTATTTGTCACATGATTGAACTACTGAATTAGAAATATGCACCGTTATGACCATTGACGGATATTAAAAAGTGTACAAAATTTACTCATTAAAAGTTTGATTATTGGTAAAATTGAAAAAGGAGTATGTCAACAAGTTTGAAAAGACATGAAACTATTCTCAGGCCTCATATTGTAGGACTCTAAAGTTGAATGTTAAAATTTGCTCAAGCCAAGGCCCCTGAAAGACTCTGCTTGTTTGATAAAGAATTTTTGAGAAGTGGTTCTTTGATAAGTGCCTTCTTTTTTCGTGAATGTGTGTTTAAAAAATAGGGAAAAGTAAAACAAGTTAAAAATATTTTTTTTGTGGTTGAAAATGAGGATGGAGAGAAGAGATTCTCAAAGAATCAAAATCAAACAAGGACCATGTCTTTAGGAATAATTAAGCAATAGGACATTAGAATGTAAGAAAACAAGATCTGAACATTATCAATATCATCAACTAAGAAATTGTCAAAATCTTTTCAATAACATTAAAACTTAAAAAAGAAGAGCAGGCCATATACCATTCACACGTATTTCCATATTTAAGGCACTATTTACAAATTATAATAGAGCACCAAGAAAGGGGAACCTTATCATGGAAAAGCAAAATGCAGCGTCTATATACTTAGGCATGGCTTCCAAAGCTCGAGAAAAGATAACTGCGACGAGGGAAGAAAAAGGGTACTGAGAGTTTAAAATCATAGTTGCAAGCTATCAACTTGCATAATTGAAAAACTTGCATGCAGAGCCAAAACTAAAAAGGAAGAACTAGAAAGCTGCGGCAGTTCTTTAGCCTAGTTTTTGAAATCAACTGTATAACTCATTAGTTCATTCCAAAAATAGAAGGTATGAAGGACATTACATTCTTTGTTCGCAGAGCATTGATGACTGATGATTTTCCAACATTGGGATAACCAACAAAACCCACAGATATAGCTTGTTTGTCACTTTTTAAGTGGGAAAATTGTCTCAATACTGATAGAAGAGAACCCTGAAAGTGACAAACAAAATTATAATGATGCAAATAAATTTTATTTATAATTAAGGGCACAGACAGAAAGAGACAAGTATGCAAAGTTAATATATAACGCTGCCATAGAACATGCTGTGTGGAGTATCATGACATTTTCTCACAGTATGGACCTGATAATGGTGGGAAAATTTCCTTCCATTTTTTATTATAATCCCAGTAAAAAACCACAGAACAATCAACTTTATACTCTTATTGATAATTAAGCAATAAAATAACATTACTTTCAGACATAACATTTTTGTGGGAAAAGAAAATATCATTCTATTATGATTAAACAAGAACTGCAAAAGCAAAAATGACAAGTATTAATCTCTTTAGAAAGTGTTGAATTCCAAATTTAATCCACACCCAAGTACTAGATCTCCGTGACATGATACCCATTGATCTTTTTTCCTTTAACCAAAACCTCTCAGTAACATCTAGTTCTAAGTAAGCTGTCATTTATTATCTAAACCCAATAATGATGGTGCACATGCAGAAGCCAACACAGTAGAGATTAGCATAAGAATACAATATATATGAAGGAAGAACAGATAACATAAATTTCCAAGTATCAGTTATCATGAAATTCACCAGGATTATATTTTCAATGTGAAAAGCCAGTTGCATACCTTGCCAAATGACTTGTTTATGCTTGCATGAAATGCTAGAGCAGGGTATTCCTTGGAAAGTATTCTAAGCCATCCTTTTGTAGCCCAAGCTGGAACCAAATCACACTGAAGAAAAAGAAAGTATAGTGAGATTTTAAGTCCAAGAGTGAGGCTCCCTAAACATATAAGAAACTAAACTTAGCAGTACACCTTAAACCTTGTGTAAAAAAAAATAATAATAAAATAAGGACACAAATCATAAGAGTGCAACCTTATTTAATAGAAGAATCATGTGCTTGTGCTTGCAATGCTCCTTCAAATGTCTCTCCAAATGGTAGCATCTCATACCTTGAGGATCTCTGGCATCTAGCACCTGCAACTCAAGATGCAACTCATGAGTGCCATCTTTAGCCCACAATATTAGAACAGAAAATTTCCTATCAAGCCCACAATATTAGAACCTGTGCAATCAGAATGAAAAAAATGGAAGTAACATATTGTTTGTGTCCTTCCCCCACCTGGACAACAACATCTGAAGAATCGATCACTTTATAGAGCTCTCCCCATATGCGCTTACTTTGACCCTTCTCAAACATTGTGTGCCGAACAAGATCTCTGAACCCATCTTCACTTCCTTCAAAGGATGTATTAGCACCATATTTCTCTTCAAATGCATCTGCAAAGTTGAAACCAAACCAAGAATTACAGAAATAAGATTATCATACCGAAAGGCAATAGTCACAGACACATCCTTCGAGGTAAGATACACGTAACAGTTCTGAAAAACACGACTATGAGATGAATTATATTTACCTTGAGATCCATCAGCCCTCTTCAATAGTGATTCATAATCAAATGCCATCAGCTTTGGCCGCTTCCTCTTTGTCTTAGGACCAAAGGCATCAGCAAAAGGCTCTGTGTCGATAAGGTGAACTCTTGCTTGCTTGGGGAATCAAAGAAAATTTATGAAATCAGCAACAAAAAGATGTAAGACAAGACTCTTGAACATACAAATTTAAAGTTTTCTTGTAAACATAACCAGAGATCCATACAGAAGAAGAGCTTCAAACCTTCTGATGATCATTCAAGAGGGACATGGGGATCTTCCTTTCCTTCAAAAGTACATTGTAGTTGCTTGAGAGACGGTTTTGAAGTTCCTCTCGGAAAAATTCAAGCTCTTTCTGATTTACAACACGGGTGTTGCCTATAAAATTGAAGGAACAAACGAAACTCTTAATTTCTTTTCCGCCCTAGACAATTGACATACAGTAAGAATGGCACAGACATCAAATAAAAGAAACAGAAATCAGCATCCTCGTGAAAGACAGTCCAACGGCTTTCAAAGTACGAACAACTGCATTTATTTCATGTTTAACCCCAAGGAGGTTTTTATTCAACTGTACAAAGCTCCTTAAGTTGAAAATCTAAAGAGTAAATTTGAAAATGAATTACAGATTAACTACACATTGAGCCTAGTCCAAAGTTAACAACCAACATCAGCCATTCTAAACTTCCATTAGCAGCCTTTTCAAAAAATAGTTAACCATATCATGAACCGATTATTTTCTCTTTTTTAAGAGATTAAGCTAAAAGTTCTCATCCAGTGACAGCACAATATTTAGATGGCTATGTATGCTTTATCAAACATAACTGAGACCAAAAAATTACTCAAACAAAACAAAAGAAAACACATCATACCAAACCACCGGCGATCAGGTTGAATCCGAGTGGACGGCAACTCCTTAGACTGCAAATCGTTCTTCAAAATCTTCCCTTTGGTGTTACGCTTTGGCCGCGTGTCATACATCTTAAGCCGTCGCACAGTAGCGCCGCTCCGCCCATTTTTGGATTTGTTCGCACCTCTATTAACATCCAACGAATGCTTCGGCTTTCCCGAAACGTTCACCGATTTCTCCTTCTGCTTCGCCATCTTCTGAAATCAACACCACAAAAATAAGCTCAAATCCTCAATAAAACATAAAACTGAGCAAAGCGGAAATCGTTTTAAAGCATTTCAAGAACAGTATATATAAATAGGCTGAAATGTAAGTACCAGACGATGGCTATTCGGCTACTGTAGAAATTCAGTGCAGAATTGAAGATGGGACCCAATTAGGGTTTCAAAAGAGGGATAACCGTAAATTAAATTGTCGTTATATACCTAGCGTTGTGGTATCAACGGGTCGGTCCGACTTTTATCCAATCGGACCGGAACGGGTTTTGATTGGTTTTATTTTTCTGGTTTTCTGCTTTATTATTATGTATAAATTGCAGCTACAGTCCCCAATATTTGACCTTCGTTGCAATCTTGTCCTCAATCTTTTTTTATTTTGTAACGATCAGCAACCATCAACTCGTGTTTAAATATGATTAACTATGGTAATTAAGATTAGAGCTCAAACCTACCTCTGTTAATGCCTTCCCCACACAACCACTAGAGACTTAAGATTGCAAAGATCACATTATCTTCGTTAAATTAATTAGCAAATCTACTTTATCCTATGAAAATGGCATATCCAATCGGATAATACTTTATTTCTACTTTTCGTCACCAACTTCGAATATATGTAGAGTTATGAAAGTGAAAAAGTATTGAATGAGTAATGTTATTTGTCGTCATAGAGTGATAAATACGAGTTTAGCTATGCGAGGTTTTCTTGAGGCATAAATAAGGAGGCGCCTTGAATTTGATGAAGTAGAAGTTGAAGAAACTAACAACCGGTACAAAGATTTGACTTATGAGTGCAAGGAAAACCAAACATTTTCAAAGAAAAAGACGAGGATGACAATAAGTTATTTTATTTATTTACGCATAATTTTACTTATTTAAGTGGTTTTATACCCGTTGCAATTCAATTCAATCACTTTTATTATGGTCTAAACCTCTCTGAGATGAACTTAATCCAATGTAATTAAGGTTGATAAGCAGCTTGACTTAAATTAATTCTTTAATAAATGAATCATATTTGAAATAATCCTTATCTAGTTTAATACAGTGCGCCAAAATCATCCTTAATATATAGAATGATACTCGATAAAAATACCACAATAGGAGAGCTCGAAAACTTAACCCTAGTAAGACAAGTCTAATTACTTTAATCAAGTTGAAGAGGGAAACAAATAACTTTATTTTTTTATTTCCATCGGAATCAACTTTGGTAAATAGCCTAGATTAAATCTCGTCTCCAATTCTCACATCTATGTTCCCTCCACTCTGTTTCCTGCTATAATGTTCCTTAGGACTTTGGAAGGGACGTGACGGGGCGGCAAAATGGGGTAGGGAAAAAGATGACTAGTAAAAGTGTGAATTTAATAAGATAAAGTAAATATTTATCATACGAAGATCACTTTTTTCATTAGAAAAAATAGAAGTGGACACTTTTTTTACTTTAGTCATTGCAAGAGTACCGTTATTTTGAAAAATCAAGTCATTTAAATAAGCTAAATTAACACATCGTGTTAACTCTTACTTGGTTGTAGAATTGAAATTGCAATTTGAAACCAATAGGAATCACTTACTTAATAAGTTGCTTTCCAGCATCCACCACTTTTGATCCACTGCTTGATGGCAATTCATAATATAAATCAACATCTTACTTTGAATAATTTATTATCAAATGTAAGGTCCATTTGATTTGATTGTAAGAATGGAAATTATGTGGAAAGAAAACGGATTTTAGGGAATTGAATTAATTAGAACTTGTTTTACTGGGAATTGTCGATTAAGGGCCTGTTTGATTTGCCTAATTTTTCATGGAAAATATTTTCCATTTCCACTTTTTTTAACTTGTTTGATTGCAAAATTTTCTTGGCAATTCCATTTCCATCTCTCCCTCCACACGTGCATTTTCCTTAGTTTCGTGGAAAACCAATTCCCATAGGTTTTTCCGCCCTTTTTTTTTGGCAATGGGAACAAATTCTATTCACAATTGTAAAAATTTGTATCCCCTTAATTGACAATTTTCATGAAAAATAAAATCAAACGAACAACAAAAGATCCAAATTTCAACAATTTTCGGTGAAGAATTATACCAGTAAAACACATTTAATTGACAATTCCCAATAAAACAAGTTATAGGCAATTCAATTCCCTAAAATTCATTTTCTTTCCACCCAAATTTCATTCTTACAATCAAACAAACCCTAAATGTGTTTGATTGGTATAATTTTCCACCTGAAAAATATTGAATTTTTGGTTTTTTTAGGGTCCGTTTGATTGTAACGATAAAATTTGAGTGAAAAGAAAACGAATTCTAGGGAATTGAATTGTCTAGAACTTGTTTTCCTGGGAATTGACAATTAAATGTATTTGATTGGTATAATTTTCTACTGGAAAGTGTTGAAATTTTTTTTTATCTTTTGGTATTCGTTTGACTTTATTTTTCATGAAATTTGTCAATTAAATGGACAAAATTTAAAGGCGGGGGTGGGGGAGCTGGAAATCCAATTCTCACCACAAAAACATAGAATTGGCACATGTGTGACAAGAAGTTGGAAAACAAATTCCATGGAAATTTGTAGCAATCAAACAATAGAGATTGGGTGGAAATGGAAAACATTTTCCAATTTCCATGGAAAATCAAAGCTATCAAACATGGTCTTAGTGTTTGGTTGATTTTGTTTTCTATCAAAATTGTCAATTAAAGGGATAGAATTTTTTACAATTGTTAATAGAATTTGTTTCTATTACCAAAAAAAAAAAATACTGGAAAAGTGAATTCCAACCAAAACCATGGGAAAGTGAAATTCACAAAATCAAGGAAAATTGGTCACGTGGGGGTGGAGAGGGAAATTTCTTGCAATCCATTTTCCATGGAAATTTGGCCCTAACAAACAGGCCTAAACGAAATGTAAAGAGACACTGCTATATGCTTTTATACATTTATTAATCTAATAAATTGAGAGAGCCTTGAATAATTTCTTCGATTTTTAATTATAAATTGAGAGAGATGAAAAAATATCACTGCATGATTTGTTGCTTTTGCTATGATCATACAATTTAATACAAAACCAACCATTTCAAAATCAAATTACAAAAGCCCCTCCCAATTTTCATCAATGAAAATAAGTTAAAACCCTTACTACTGGGAGCTAACTGATCTTTTCTTCATATCATGGATTCTAAGTTTTTGCCAAAAACTTCTAGCATGTTAGCAAATGTTACAATTCCAACTAAACTGCAGTCATCTTCAATAACCCATAAATAGTTTACCCGATGCGCAATAGCCTGTATCATCACTGCCACCAAAGAACTTCCGGGATGGCACACTATTGCCTCTGCCCTTCTCACCATTCGTGCTGAGTAGCTGGTAGACCTACTATACCGACCCGCCCTTGACAATGTTCTAGTAGGGGAAGGTAATTCCTCGTCAGAAGACGAGCTGGAAAGAATCGTACTATTGGAGGACTCAATCGCGAATTCCTCTAACATTCCCTCTAGATTTCTTTCCTTCAACCTTGCCTCAACCACCCTCGCAATTTCCTCGGTGGGGCCTCCACAGTCAATGTAGGCTATTAGGTCCCCGGCGGAGAGGGTTGTAATGGCAGCTGCCACAGTCTCGTCACAGCAAGAAAGGGCGAAGGGGGAGATCTCACCAATCAATGTTCCATCATCATCAACAACAGCCACCGAAGTTTGATCCACTAGAGATTGGGAGATGGCTCCAATTGCTGATGAAGCCAAGGAGTGGTACCCAACGGCCAAAAATTCAGGGCTGATGATGCCAAGGGTGTCGATGGAAAGAGTTGGGATCGCAGAGAAAAGGCCAATTGAGCTAAGAAGGAATCTCATTATATCTTCTTGCGTTAGCCAACAAAATTCGAGGCCATTGTGAACTGTTGGACTCATTGATGATGATTTTAGGAGTTGTTTTCTCTTTGAACTACCTGTGTTGTTGCTCTTTATAGGAACCACAAGATTCTGCGCACCTTGGAGGATCAAATCAATGGCTTCAAGTAAACTGCATGGGAAATAGCAAAACAAAACTTATTAAATGGAAAAACAAACTACTATGGTTCAATTTAATACATTCTTCCATTAATTTGGAGAAACTGATGATCTCAAACACCAAGAAATATAAGCTGATACTACTCCAAATTCGAAAATAATCAAAATTTACATAAAAGACAATAGATAAATAAAGGATTTGGATTTTAGCTTTGAGCTTTTAAGTTAAAAACTAAATATCCACTTTCCAGATCTATGAATATTCATTGTACATAGAATCTCTGTTTTTTTTTCAAGTTTCAGCTCAAGCAATTCAGCTAGCACTTTGTGCAAACAGTTACCCGCATGGTAAAATTCAATTCACTGAAATAATAAATTCAAGACTCAGACCCGTCCAATTCAACAGAAATGCCAAAACCCCCATTAATAATCACCCTTGAAAAATGTCGAAGAGGGAGAGAGAATTGTTATTATCCAATTACCTTGAAGAAGCCTCTACGTGCCTCACGAGACCCTGAACTTTTGACAGCAAAACGGAAATAGGGGACTTCAAGGCCAAAGCTGGAGAAGATAAATTCTCTTCTCTGCAAAGATAGCAAATTATATCAACCATGCAAATCTTCCCAATACACAAGCAGTTTTCATCGTCAGCATTCAAATCCCTCTTAGAATGATCACAATTCCACACACTCACGAACTTATTCTCCGCCGCCTTTAGCGCCGCCAAGGCATCACCGACGGTGGCGGAAACAGGAAGGGCACGCAGCGGCGGCTTGCCTAAGCAGAGATCAGCCACCTCAAAAGACAATAAGCGAGCTGCCATGCAAGAACAGAGCAAAAAGAGTGTGGATTTTGGGTGCAAAATTGAGGAAGAACAGAGTGTGGAATTGAGCACATTTGGTGTGGGAAGTGCGTGTATTTTATAAGGCGAAAAGTGAGCAGCTGGAGTCGGACTCTACGGGAATTGTAACATGAGGGTACGGACCAAAACTAGAACAAACCATAGATGAGGTTCACTTTTCACGTGTCGCTCTTGGGGCCCGCTTATTTTTTTTATGACATATGGAATTAAAATCAATTTTTCCATAAATTTTAGTAAAAATTGATGATATGTGTTGTTAAAAAATTGTGGATCACATAAATATATAATTAAAAATTAATTATTGATTTTGATTTAAATTGTGGAGTCGGACTCTACGGGAATTGTAACATGAGGGTACGGACCAAAACTAGAACAAACCATAGATGAGGTTCACTTTTCACGTGTCGCTCTTGGGGCCCGCTTATTTTTTTTATGACATATGGAATTAAAATCAATTTTTCCATAAATTTTAGTAAAAATTGATGATATGTGTTGTTAAAAAATTGTGGATCACATAAATATATAATTAAAAATTAATTATTGATTTTGATTTAAATTGAAATCTAAATTTTAATCCCTCTCAAATTAGAGCACACAACGAGTTGTTGAATTAGGGCATGTTTGGTGAGATAAATATCTTATTTTTGCTTTTTATAAAAGAGCTTCTTAAGAAATTATCTTAGGGTCCGTTTGATTGTAAAGATGAAATTGAATTGCCTAGAATTATTTTTCTGAGAATTGTAAATTATTGTGTTTGATTGGTATAAATTTTCAGGTGGAAAATGTTGAAATAAAAGTGTTTTTTATATTCGTTTGGCTTTGTTTTACATGAAAATTATCAATTAAAGGAAAATATTTTTTTACAATAATTCTTAAAATTGGTTTCCATTATCAACCAAAAAAAAAAAATCGCTATAGTAGGGTGGAATTTAAATTCTCACCATATATGGTGAGAATTCAAATTCCACCAAAACAAGGAAAATCCCAAGTTTCAAGAAATCCAAGAAATGCAATTCCATGGAAAATATAAGGTATCAAACACCAAAAGTTGGAATTTCCAATTCCAATTTCATCTTCTTCTTTTTTCCATTTTCATGCTATCAAACACTCCCTTAGAAACAGTTTAGTAGAACTTCTACTTCCTAAAAAAGAGTTTCATGTAAAAGTCATCTTAAGTCAATTTCTTCTAAAAATTCTTCTAATTGGATAAATTACTTCTAAAAAGTTATCCAAAAATATTGAAAAATAACTTTTGACTTTTTAAAAATTTTGCCAAATGAGCTCCTAATTATATTATAAGAGGATATTCTTATGAACCTAATTTTATGAGTGGTGAGAACGAACAATCATTTTTCAACATATACGATTATCGATTTTTATTTTAGTTTATTTATTTATTTTATCTTGATCGATAAAAAAGAAAATTTTGGCAACAAATACGTTTGTCGATTTTCCAATAGAAAATAACCTAAAATCATATTGGCCCTATAAATCATCTCTCAAATGGGTTCGATCTATCAATTGTGAAATATGTGATCTCACTTTTTTGAGGAGTATGATTAAATTGTTACGTTCAGTATTGTTAAATTAGAATAAATATTTTGTGAAACACAGTCTCACTGTTTTGAGGAGTGTGATTAAATTGGTAACTACAGATAAATAGGAATAAATATTTTGTGAAATGCATGGTCTCACTTTTTTGAGGAATATAATTAATCTGTTATATTTAGGGTATGTTTGATAACCCTTTTTTCTCATGAAAAATGGAATTCTAATTCCAATTCCTTATTTGATTGCCAAAAATTTCCTGGCAATTGATTTTCTTGCCTCCGCTCCCATGCGCCTCTTTTTCCTTGTTTTGGCTGAATTGGTTTTCCCACCATTTTGGTGGGAATTAATTTTCTAGCTTTTTTATTTTATTTTTGGTAATGAAAACAAATTTTAGGAACAATTGTAAAAGAGGATATCCCTTAAATTGACAATTTTCATGTAAAACAAAATCAAACGAACATCAAAAGGTAGATGATTTTCTTGAATTTTTTTTCAATGGAAACAAATTTCAT